GTTTTCCCAGCTCTGGTATGTCCTGGCAGGAGCTTTGAAGGGAAGGGCTGTTTCAGCACTCTCCTCCTCCTCCTCTTCCTCCTCCTCTTCCTCCTCCTCGCTGCCCATCTGTTCCTCGCAGTACATCTGAGAGGGCTTGGAGGAGGTGAGGTCCTTGAGGTTTTTGAGCTGAGCCAGTGTGAAAGCCCTTTGAAGGTGGTTTCCTGAGTTCCTGACCCCGCTGAGAGAAAAGTGGAATCAGATGAAGAAGGGAAGAGTTGCTCTTTTCTTCTCGCCCGGTAGGGCCAGCCAAGCCCTCTGCCCCTGGGGGGCCGGGGCTGCCCTGGGCTGGGGGGCAGGAGAAGGCAGGGGGCCTCGGGGTCCAGGTATCACTTTGACCAGAGCACGTGGGTCTGTTGTTCCTGAGACCCAGACTGGTCATCACCCCGATGTGGGCAGAGCTGGGAGATGGGAAGGGGGAGCAGCACAAGGTTTAGCTTGGACACGAGGAGCAATTTCTTCTCCAAAAGGGTTGCCCAGGGCTGTGCCAGGCTGCCCAGGGCAGTGGTGGAGTCCCCACCCCTGGAGGGGTTTCCAAGCCGTGGAGATGTGGGGTGAGGGACACGGGGCAGTGGGGACCTGGCAGTGCTGGGGGCACAGTTGGACTCCATGACCTTAAAGATCTCTTCCAACCCAACCGACTCCGTGTCGTGCCGAGTTTGGGAGGCAGAGGGGGGGCTCTGATGAGCGACCCCCCACCCTCCCACACACACATTGGGGTGCAAGCTGCTGACACCTCTCTCCCCTCCCTCCTCAGGCCCCGTCAACCAGGACGGGCAGGAGACTCAAGGTCCCAGCGACGGTTTCCTGAGCTCCAAGGTCGCCGTCTTCGCGGCCATCGGCGCCGGCTGCGTCATCTTCATCCTCATCATCATCTTCCTCGTCGTCCTCCTCCTCAAGATCCGCAAGAGGCACCGGAAGCACACGCAGCAGCGAGCCTCCGAAAGCACAGGAGCCACCCGCGGTCGGCTTTGTCCCGCAGCGCCTTGGCCAGCCCCAAATGCAGCGGGAACGCCGGCACGGAGCCCAGCGACATCATCATCCCCCTACGGACTACAGAGAACAACTACTGCCCGCACTACGAGAAGGTGAGCGGGGACTACGGGCACCCCGTCTACATCGTCCAGGAGATGCCCCCGCAGAGCCCGGCCAACATTTACTACAAGGTGTGAGGAGCGGGCTGGGCAAAGCCACCGATGCA